CGTTCAGAAGTTTTGTCATAATTTGATTATTTTCATCCTGGATGAATACGAATTGGGGCAGGAGGTGCTCAAAAGAAGATTTTAAATTTTAATGCTTTCCATTATATCTCAAGTGTCAAGGTATAAAATATCAATTACTTCCTTTAGTTCTACATGCTCTTTTGGTAATTTTTGATTTATAGATTGGTTTGTATATTTTGTTATTTATTTTTAGTTACAACAATTTTCGAAATTTATATATATGTAGTTCGATTTGTGTATTTGTTATTTAACTTTTAGAATAATAATAGTCCTCGAAATTTTGTAAGTTATATGGAATGAAGTTTTACATATATATTTATAAACTATGAAAAGAGGTATTACATAAGTGTTTCTGAATAATTTTACAATTTGTTCAAAAGGTCCATCCGAAAAATCGTTTTGTAGAGGAGAGCAGAAGCAAGACCAACTAAGATAGAAAAATATAAATGTTTCTTACCCACAAAATTAATGTCATAATAAAATATTAAATATAGTGAACAATGAAAGTAAAATACAAATACGATACAAGCTACGTGAAATTAATTCTATATATAATAAATAATAATATAAACAAAATAAAATTACATGTACATATTATTGATGATAGATAAAAACAATTACTAACTTCACCACAATCTCATGAAAGTTTAAAATTAAAATAATTTCATTATAAAAAATAAGAGTATTGTATTAAAGGATAGTAACAAACAAAAATAATTTATAAAATAGTATAATAATCATATGAATAAATTTAAATTTTATTCAAAATGAAACAGAATAGTAAAATTTAATTGCTATTGCACAAAATATGGAAATTAATTATTTAAAAAATTGATATTGAATAAGGAAATAATTAGCTTTTACATATTCGATATAATGCTCGTATTTTGAACTTGATTGTAAAAGAGGGGCTGGATGAAAGAATTGAGTCCATTTCTCATATAAGATGTGCAATGGAATATGTTAGGTCTTCTTCTTCAAGATTTGCTACTTTCAAGTCCTTTGATGAGAAAGTTAAGATTGTCACTCATGGTCTTGTAAATCTGGATGTTGAGACTAGATGAAATTCGACATACACAATGTTAGATAAAACCTTGAAATTTGAAAAAGCCTTTACAAGAATGTATGTAGATGACCAGAATCAAAAAAATAATTCATATCAAGATAAAAACTCCTCAGAGTTACACGATTGGACTTGCTCTCCATAATATGGCAAATGTCAGTCTATCATGTTTGAAGTCATACATAGTTTATGTCAGGATCAATTACAAATTACTTATAGAGGGATAATAGTACAATGCTTTTCTATTCATGAAGAAGCGGGCTTTGCCCCATCTATCGCTATTGTTGATAAACCAAAAAAGCTACCAAAGAAAAGAAATGCAGTCTCTCCTTTGTCTTTTGGAGAGGAGAGGACAGAAAAGAAAACGTCCTTCACACAAGTTTTTTTTTTCTTCCCACGTCCTTACTAGTAAAAAGGGGCTCATTTTGAGGATAGTTCTAGATGAATACACCACAAGACCTCTTATAGATGCGCTTATCTAAGCTACGAAACTCGATTGTTGTGTGCCTTAACTAAAGGAGTTATGAATATTCTATACCAAACAAGTTGAGTAGGAAAACACTTTTTACCCTATTATTAATAGTCAAACAATTCAATCAACAAAAACAACAACAAAAAGATTATGTTCATAACTTAAATAATTCGATAAAAAAAGTTATTTACTAAATCTCAAATGAATGACAGTACATTAAAGAAACACACGCAACGATCATCGTAATGCGATTATCAACAAAAGTTCTTGATCTCACTAAATTAAGTTGAAAAAAACACTTTGTCATCCACTAAAAAGGAGTGGAGCTTCAAATCACACTTTTTTAGCTCTTAAGAGGTACTATCGTCCCGATAAAGGGTTGTAAAGGGCCTGACTGAGTTACTCGACATGGCAGGATGACGGCAAAAGGTTGACATGAATGACTTTTTCAAGGGATGTGGTGAAGTTTGAATCAATCATGTATTATGTGATTAAAGCATCACTTAGTGGTGCTAAAAAATTTGTGAGACAGTGTCATGACATGACATGGGTGTTGGCAAGGCAACATGCCATGGAATGGCATGGGTGCTGATCGACAACGGTTGTGGGCAAGTTTGACATATGGATAATACACGATCTGGTCAAGTGCGGAAAATTGAGTTGAGATAAATTAAAGCATAGACAAATATGAAGGAAACACAACAAGAAAACAGTGAATGACACAAGTGGATTAAAAGCTAGCATGTTTAAAGAAAACGCAGTCAAGGCAGCGGCAAGACGTTAGCAAGTTCGCAGGCACAAACACATTGTACAGACATGGAAGCAAAGGCTGAAAACACAATCAACAAGTCACAGGCCAAGCACATGTGGCAGTTACCTTTTTGTAGTCGCTTGTGTCCAAATTCATTCAACTCTTGTATGTTGTTTGAATTTGAAATTTATATGCCTTACCAGTTGGCGATGTCAACTTAAGTTTAATTTAGTAACCTCTTAACAAAACAACCATAACACATATGTCACAAAGTTATGCAATGTAAAAGACAAGGCTGTCACATGGTCTATAAATGTGCAGCCTTAATGATGGATGAATTAGAGGGTGAAAGAGGGAAGATCTATGTCTTGAATTTCACTAAGACACTTTAAAAAAATGTGAGGATTTTAAGTGGTGTATAATACAACAATCGACTTGTGATTGTGCCTTCGAAGTCGAAAATGGGACATAAATATTGTTCTAACGAGTGAGGTCATTTGTATTGTTTTTATTATTAATATAAATGTTGGGTTTGACAGTATATTTTGTGTGTATTTTAATATCAAGAATATAAAAATAATCTAAAAGAGAAAAGGAAGAAAAAACATTTTGTCAAACGTTAGGCAAAATAGACTGCAAACAGGCTGGTTAAGTGTGGACTTGACTGTCGCACAATGGGTTAACCTTTGACAGTGAACTTAGGTAATGTAATCTACCTGTGTGACAATTGATATCAGATCATTGGCTAGAGTAACTTGATGGCTGGTGAAAATGCTGAATTACGGGAGATGATAACACAATTAGAAGCACTTATTGGTCGGAATAGCGATAGGGAGGACTTGATTTCCGATCACTCAAATTTAAAGGGTGAATGCAGAGTCAACCTTGACAAAACAGTTCTTGAATGAAAAGGTTGAAATGGTAGAGGCAGAATATGAAGCCAAACACGTAACTGATAGAAGTCATCCGCAAAAAGAGAAGGAAGACTTGTGTGGTGAAGTTCTTCTTTTACGTTGGGCGTTGCAAGGGACTATTAACCCCATAAAGATGATGTGCCTGATCCTAAGTCTGACAATGGTGTGAGGAGTGCTGAGGAATATGATAACTTTCATTGGAATGTCAGAAACTACTCCGAGCTCAAAAAAAAATTCGAATGGTGAAAAGGTATCAGTCATGACAATGTACTTGGGTGATGATGTTAAATTGTCCGGAGAATAACGGTTGCTGAAGTGGAAAGTGTGAATCTACTATAAATTGAAATGTGAAAAGCATTAAAGAAAGAATTGAAACTCAATTTCTTTCAAGCAATTCGTTTTAGGTGGCAAGGGATGAGTTGCCACGATTGAAACAAAGCAGCACACTGAAGACTTATGTCAGGGAGTTTTCGTCCTTGATGCTCAATATAGGCAACATGGTTGAGGAATATAAGTTGCACTATTTCATGAGCGGGTTGAAGGGATGAGCACAAAGAGAATTAAGAAGGGTAAAATGTCCAAACTCTCAATTTTATAATAGTGGCAGCAGATAAATTGGCTAACTTCGATAAGGGTGATGATCCAAGGGATGCTTCACTTTTCAAACATGACAAGTGTAAGACACGTGTCACAAAGTTATACAATGTAAAACACAAGGCTACCACATGGTCTATAAATGTGCAGCCTTGATGTTCGACGAATTAAAGGGTGAAAGAGGGTAGATTTATGTCTTAAATTTTACTAAAACACTTACAAAAAATGTGAGAATTTTAAATAGTGTCAACAGAAGCAATCGACTTGTGATTGTGCCAAAATCGAAGTCGAAGTCAAAGTTGAATAAAATTGTTGTTCTAACGAGTGAGGCCTTTCGTATTGTTTTGATTATTAATATGAAGGTTGGGTTTGCCCGTGTATCTTGTGTGCCTTTTAATGTTAAGCAACAAAAAATAATCTAAGGAAGAAAAGAAAGAAAAAGATGTTGTCAAACGTTAGACAAAATAGCTTGCGAACAGGCTGAGTTGTGTGAGACTTTACTGTCGCACACTCGGTTAACCTCTGGCAATAAATTTAGGTGCGATAATCTGCCGTGTGACAATTATTCATGTGAATATAAGATGTATGGTCAATATTCGTTAATTGTGTCAAACAATTTCATAAACGTTCTATAAAATTGGGATCAGTTACAAGTACCCCATAAACTATTACCAAAATCCAGGGACACACCTTAACTAAAATAATGTCTTATTGCTCCCCTGAACTTATTTTTTTAAAAAAAAATTGGACACTTTTTGACTTACATGAGAAACTCTGTGCCTCCACACAGTTGAGGCGCGTGAGAGATATTTGGTTGTCACGTAAGCCAAAAAAGTATATACTTTTTTTAAAAAAAAAACGAGTTAAGGAGGTAATGAGACCTTACTCTAGTTCAGGTATATTTCTAAAATTTCAATCATAATCTTGGGAATACTTGTACCTAGAGGTGGACATTAGGTTATTCGATTTGATTCTTCGACTTTCAGTTTTGGAAAAACGTGCACTTATATTAAACCAAACTAATTCAGTTTGGTTTAATTTTTTTCTATTCGATTCGGTTTATTTCCGTATTTTCAAATTGTTTTTTCCAGTGTAAATGAAAAAAAAAATAAAGTTAAAATATAAGATACTTAGAAATTTAAAAGATGTTAAGGAATGATGTGTCTCACTATGGATCACTTATTGTGCTAACTAAAAGACTATTTATCTTTATCAAGAACATTGTGCCTCCAACTAGTTCTCGAGAAAAACAAGTACAAAGACTCTTCCTTTATGGTAATCATGCCCACCCCTACACGTACACCGTATTGCAATAAAATTAGTATTGTATTGCAAGGACGCTAGAAGAAGACGGTTCTGCTACCATTTATGCATGGAAAAGAGGTAAAGACAGCCATATAATCCTTAAAAGATTTCCAATAAAGTACCTTATTGAGTAGTTTTACCCAAATCTGATCCTTCTTCGACCAGGTCGACTAGCAGAGCGGTACGTACCAACTGCAAATCTCTACGTTATGACAAATGCACAATGCAGCTTAACTGAACACTTAAAAGTACTAATTTTCCTCTACTTTGAATCTCCCAAACACACCAAGGGATACACGATTGAACAACCAACTTCTGGCAGCTGCCCTAACAACTCGAGAAGGACACGATATTCACAATGAGGACAAGAACTCTTGCATTGAAATTCTACAAATTGTATTACTCATTGAAGAGTTAGCCCAACGAATAAACCATTCTTTCAGAAAGCTCAGCACCAACAGCCCTCATGTATTTGTGTAGTTGAGTCTCCATAAACCGCCTTTCACGGGAACCAAAAGCTTGCCTCAAATCCTTATAAGAAAGAAAAAAGCTCAGTTAGTAATAAGAACAAATCAGGTAAAAACAGCTGGTAAAAAATATTTTTGCATGGTTTTAACGTAATAGTGTGCTTACTCAAGTTATCCATTTAGTACTAAGAGTTGCAAATACATGAAAGCAGACTTGAAAAGTAGCAGCGTATCAAAACTCTCAATCTTTAAGACCTAATTTTTCAACGGGATAACCATTTTTGAGAACCAACATAATACTTGATACTTCTTTGGGTTTCTCTATCTCTCATTTGTGTTTGTCATTTTTCATTTCAAAGCACATACTTTTAAGAAATGACTTCATTTGTGATCCACATTTTTCAGTTTAGAGCAACTATGATTAGGACTACATAATTTAGCGCAAATGGAAGTTATTGTGACAGGTCAATTAGCATTACTTTGTATCTCAGACGAACTTCCTTCAACCCAATCAAAATGCTACCAACATCTCTGTCTTCTACTTTGGGCAGTTGGATGTTACTGCTCTCAGCAATCAGTTCATCATCTGAATCTTCATAGTTAAATTCATCCATTTCCTCATCCTCATCCTCACCCACAAAAATATCATTTGATCCGTGAAAGTGTTGTTGATCATTTTGCTCATCATAATTTTCAAGGTTACTAGGAGGAAGAGGCTGCCCATTTTGTGTGGCAAAATCAGATAAAACCATGTACGATTTCATGTCGAGCAGTGGCTTGGCAACATCAAATGGAACCCACCTAATCAGAAGAAATATCGTCAGTTGAAAAAAGAAAATTTGGGCTGGTACCAAAATCCATCTGACCAAGGCTCTGCAATATCAGGTATTGGTGAATGATACTTACTATTCAACAGGAAAAACGAACATTTAAAACAACTCATTAATTAACAATATAGAAACAGCTAAAGTTCATGCTCCCGCTGGCTAAATGATTAAAGCTACCTACATAAGAAGTGCCGTGTGGCTTGATTTCCCAACAGGATAAACCTCAACATTTTGGGGTTCCAGCAATTACACACACAAAAAGGGTTAAAGATAACATGAACTTTAAATTATCCAAAAAGAGATTTGTCAATCAGGCTCTCATACTAGCTAAGTTGGTTGAAACTAGTATTAGGGACTGACTAGGTCATAAGAATGGGCAGTCAAAGGGCTTGATTGTTCCACATGAAACAACCACTTGTCAGCTACAACTAGAAAAGTGTAAAACCTTCAACTATACCTTTTATATTTCTTACTGATAGCACTTTTATTGCATAGGACTGGATAGCGATAAGCATATTTAGCACTTCTAAAACTAGTCATGATATTGTAAAAGATAAATTATAAAGATTATTCCCATTACTTTTTCTGTTATTGTCCAATACTAAGCCAAGGCCATAACGGAAAATGACATAATGAAAGCTTATTAGCATATAAGGTGCATAGAGACTAGGCTCCAACTCACACTAGATGCCACAATAGATCAGGCCATCTATTTAACAACAACATACCCAATGAAATCCCACAAGGGGTTCTTGGTAGGGGAGAGTGTACGTAGACCTTAACCCCTACCTAGTGGAGTTAGAGAGGCTATTTCCGGAGGACCCTCGGCTCGAGTAAAACAAATCGAAGTAGCTATGAAACGGGAAAACAACATAAAGAAAACATAGCAACTAATTAAGGACCAGTAATAACAACAAAATAGTGCAATTACCAAAATACCACAAACAACAGATGATGACAGAAATGAAAAGCAAGATACTACAAGAATAGGCTAATACTACCACAGATACCACTAAGCCTAAACCCGTCGAAAAACAAGACAAGACTCCACTACCTACTAACCTTCTACCTTATCCGCGACCTTTCGACCCTCCTATCTGCGGTCATGCTCTTGGTAAATTGAAGTTGTGCCATATATTTAACAACTTATTCAACATAACTAGCCATCCGTTAACCAGCAGGTATCAGTCAATCACATACATGGTGATGCCAAATGCCATCTCTTAACAAAGAGGAATAAATGAAGATCTCAGAACAATTACTCATCATGATTTATACCTAACCTTGCCCATTTTATCTTTACCCAAAATACCCCTGTTAATTGACTTAATTCCCTATCCCTAATTACATTACCGACAAAACTGTCATTTTACTTTTAAGAAGAAAACAAGTTGCAGTACAGCTCATCTATCATAATCCAGAAGCTCACTTCATCATTATACAGAGCCCTTTCAGGATGCTCCTTTTCCCCCACTTCGTAAGCAACTGAGCTGACACCGACAAGATTGGTTCATTGTTGGATGCAACAAATTAAAAATAATATAAAATTGAGTTTATATATCCAAGGCAAGTTAATTAGAATTTTCTTTGTGGCTGCTAATTTTTGACCAATTAAATACTTGGCCATAACTCGAGAACCTCAGCATCTCTTCATCTTGTGCAATATGTTCTTCCCTTTTTCTCTAAAACCATATTCAGGGCAACTCCAACAAATTGTCTTTCAAATTGTACCTATGCATCAGGAACAGAGATATAGCTTAAAAACTAGCACCCAAAGCTACACATACTCAGCCTAGCTTACCCTTCTGAGCTTCAACTGCTACTCTGATTCTCCAATTCCCCCTCCCTAGCGAACCACTCCAAACTCATAAAATTTTCTGCATTCATGGCTTTCAAGAGCTCAGTTTATGCCTTCTGGTCGAATAAATTATCATGCCCCTGCCTTCGAGCCTTCAGAAGGGCAAGCTGCAAATTCCTATTTTAATTCCACAGAACAGTGGAAAAGTGGTGTATATGACTTCAAATGGCTTAGTTGCACGGACTCTCCACTTTTGATGCCGACCCGTCTCGGATTCTTCAAAAATAGACTACTTTTGGCGAATCTGACATGCACCCGTTGGTATTTTTGAAGAGTCCGAGCAACATAGTCAAGTGGTGGATATTTAGTTCTTTCTAGCTTTTATTTTCTACATGCTTGTTAGTAAGGGCTTTTGGTGCCTCAATAGGATTGGTAAGGTATATCAGAGCTTGTATGCTTGAAATTTCATGGTTATACCGGTCATTGGAAAAGCAGGGGAAATGACAGCTTGAAAAGGAAATAAGAGAGAGAGAGAGAGAGAGGGAATGACAGGTCTGATTGAACAAGTAGTGAATAGCTCCGCTTTTGATTAATGACAATAATGTTCCTATTAAAATGGTATTATACAAGGGAATCTGTGTGCGTGTGAATGTGTGCAATTTGTACATAAACATGTCCCATCAACAGACGCACCTATGTTACGCAACACCAATAGTAGCCTGAGGGCATACTTCAAAATCACAATATACTTGAAAAAACTCTCTTTTATCCATTTGCCCAAATAGATTTTTGTTGTTGAGAACTCAAAAACCGAAAAGGAATTTGAAATTTTTTCTGCTGTGAAATCATAATCTATATATTAGAATTATGATTTAAGAGTATCCATTGCAGCAGCATCAAATAGACTTGGAAAATCTCTCCTTTAATCACTTGGCCAAATAGATTGTGTTTACTGACCCCAGTCACATCCCTTTAATATCCAACTAATGACTTTGTATCCCTTTTCTATTTCAATGCAATGAACTAGAAGTTAAGATATTTACAGTGCTTAAGATTTGATAACTTAAGTTGTTCTTTAACATGAACTTCAGCAATCATCTATAATTCACTAAATTGCTCCTTACCATAATTCTTTAACTTTCCATAAGTTGCTCGGATTCTTCACTTTTGGTGTCGCACCCGTGTCGACACGACAGGGGTGTGAGTGTGGGATCCCTGTCCGATTTGGTCAACCAATTAGGGTACTTTTACCAAACTTGAAGGGAAAACCTGGACAGTTTTAATTATTTCTACCATCGCTACAAAAGCAAAGATGAAATTGAAGAAAATGGAATACCTTTTATATAGAAATTTCTATGTTACTCCTTTTCCTTTAATATCCTTCCAGGATTCTCGTCAAGTTCTCCACAAAATATCTCATTATTTAGGTTTAGAACTCTATTTTTAGATATTGTAATTATTTTTAGGTGAATCCCCACACCCATATCCATACATGGATCCATATCGCCGAATCTTAAAAATTAGATCATTAAAGATCTGACATCTAGATACACACCCGTATCGGACACCCGCACCCGAAGTTCAAGCAACTTAAGACCTTTACTTTGCTTCTAACCTGAGATAAACAATAGAAATCGATTCAAGAAAATGAGGATAATTGAAAATGTCCTTGCCCAAGGCACCAGTAAAATGCTAGTTTTGCATAAGCAGCAAGAAGAATGGAACAAATTTTCTGCTTAAACAGAAGCAGGCAAAAATTATTTAACTTATGCTGCAACCAACACACTGCACCCTTCTTTCTCTAAGAACAATACTTACAAATCTAGAACAGGAAAAACACTCACAATTTACCTAAAACATAGATAGCAGAATAGCAAAGTTTTGAAAGAAAAAAGGATATTATCCTTAATCTCAAATTAACAATGTATCTGTTCATAAGCTATACAAAGAAGAGAAACTTACTTATATCGCAAAGGGCAGAGTAGCTCAGAAGGCCGGTATGCTGCTTTGTATCTCATTTTGTTGCAGGAGTGGATGTAGTAACCCAGATAATAGTACTGGAGACTAGGGCAATGTACTTGATTCTGTGTAACCCACCTTATTTCTTGAAGGGCTGAATACTTACCTAATGATAAGAAGGCAAGATCTGGATCCCAGAATAAATATTTACTTGACAAACACTTTGGGAGAATATCTATGACTCCAACTGCAACCAACCGTCCATCAATCAGATACTGCTGATGGAAAGAACCAAAGCCACAAGCGGGGACAGTAAGGTCCCCCGATGGGGGAACAAATATTATGGGTGTATCAACCAAAAATCTCCTGTATGAGCTCTCAGCGACTTCATCAGGAGAATCATTGTGCACTCTAATCTGGTACCTCCTATACAAGGAATATTCTTCGGGATCAAAACTGGACCTTTTAAGACGAACCTCAAACTTCCTCTTTTTGAGTTCATGATTTTCATGTACTGTTGATGAGAAGCTCTGTTTATTACAGCTTCCTGATGAGAATTGCTTCAACTCATTATGGCTGCTGACTATGGCATCTTTATCAACTCGTCTTTCGGAAGAATAAAAGTTTATATGTCCGTTGCAAGCTCTAACTAATAATCCCAATGATTCTGCTAGAGAGTTTAGATGGGTAGCTAGTGTTGCAGCAATAACTTTGGGGGTATCAGCAGCTTGCCCCCTTTCCCCAGCCCCCAATTGTGATGATTTTCCATGTTCAACACCTTTTCTTTGTCGTCTTAAAGTAGCTGCAATCTGGAACGAGATGCTGCTGGTAAATAACAGATCCTCTGACCCTTCAGTGGATAACTTTCTTTTCGCAGGTGCAACCTTTTTTACAGAGGCTTTTGGAAACTGAAAATCAGAAGAAAGATCCCCACTTCCAATGCACACATGTACTGCATTATCTATCTGACTTTCCAAATGGGGGATCAACGGTTCAGTTTTGTACTTCTCTTCAAGGTTACCTGTCAAGGACTTCGTTGCTGCAAGGCTTTGATTTTGACTAGAGGTAGTGATTTCTGAATTGCCTGAAGTGTCTGTTGCATCCATAAACTCATCTGAACTTTTATCTAACGTGCCATCCAGAAACCTAAACATTCAATTTTATTCAAGCTAAATCATCTATACAAAAAATAACTCAAAATTGAATGCCAAAATAGCCAAAAATCATCCTTAAATTTTGATGTTTGTTGAGTCACAGTCTCACAGATTACACGCTAGAATTAATGACCTTGATATTAACAACAATCAAACTCTAAATACGGTTATCTTTAGATTCTTCTAGTTTGGCATCTTTAACTTATGATGGACTGCAAATACAGTTAATCCTCTCTCTCTATCTCTCTCTCTCTCTCTCTTCCCCGCACTCACATTATAACCGAAGAGCATCCAACAAACCCTGCAACTCAGTTACTGGGTAAACTGTCCAAGCTTGCCTTCATAGTTCGACAATGGCTAAAGCATTGGAGTGTCCAAGTGTATTACACTATTGGCACTTTGTGGTCCGTCCGTGTGATATGATGCAGTAATGACAGTTCCTAGAGAACATATATATAAAAACGGAAAAGAACTTCACTGAGGATATCAGAATAATTATGGAACACGTATATAAGCTTCAGAAACAATGGAAACATTACCACCTACTTTCAGATGAACCAACAATCAACAACAGAGGTTTTCACAATAACCACTCAATTGCTTAGAGTTAGTACACTTCCCTGTGTTCTCAAATGCATTTTGAACATGCATTTACACAAAAGACAGCCCCACATGATGAAGGAGCACGGAATTTCCAAACAGTGGAAATTAGTCTTGAAAATTTGTGTGACCCATATGAATCATTCAAATAAAAGAGCATCATGGAGTTAGGATTCCTATTCAGACCCAGAAAAAGGTGAAAAAATTTAGTGAGACTGCCTTTTATCCATTATCATCATTTGTGGTACCGAAACAATAATGCTCTGAATTGGCACAGTATTAGGCATTTACCGGAGTTACTTAAAGGCTTTTCGTTTATCAATGCTGTTTTATTGGCAAGCACAAACTTTAACTAGTTTAACTTATCAATCATAAAGAACAGGGGAAAGTTTAAGATACCTCTGCATTCTATTCAGTACTCGGCGTTGTTCTTTGGAAGGAACAAAATCATTTGCTTTGAGACGGATGGTGTAAGATGGACAGCATGTCTTTTCCATCTCTGGTTTGTATAGGAAACAGCCAGATCTTCTCCATCCTCTATCTAGAAGAGCTACAAAATGGAAAACCAATGCACAACAATATAAAAAAAATAGATAAGGAAATTCATCAAATTCAAAGCATCTCTGCGACCAGAATCACATGAGAAAGACAGACTGTTGATTCTATGAAAAAATATACATGGGAGAGTGTGCACTCTCAATGAGAAGAGATGTTGTGTCTGCATGTGCTACAAAGTCTTTTAGATAGCTTGTGGAACTTAAATTACAGCATACAAATTCTAAAATTAAATAAGTACTGTAATATGAGTATATATAAGGAAGGCAATGATGTACGCAAAACAGCATATACCATATGGTGTCATTGTATTCTTTCAGAAAGTAAACAAGTCACCTTATGGCCCGTACCTAAACATCCCACTAGTGTATTAGCTATCATTGAGGTAAAGGAAATGGTAAATAATAATATCAGGTAATAGCATGTCTCAGGCTATTAGAGATAAAGGGTTCAAATAAACAAGCAAAATCTGGGTTTTACAGTGTGAATGGCTGCAAATTTACTAACCTTGATAGTCATCAACTGTCAGACTGCGTGCCCATAAACCTGCAAATCAAGCATATAAATTTAGGAAGAAGCTCCAATTGAAGTTCTGGTATGTTCATGCACTTCAAGTGCAAATGTTCTCTTATGAGTTAATTTAGTGTTGCGCTGTAGTGTAGTGTTGTAATTTATATTCAATTGATTCATTATCTTTTAGTGACATGACTTAATGCACATTAGGAAAAAAAATACATTCATTTTGCCCTATTCATTTGATATTTCTCTCATATAATGAAGAAATCCCCTGTACAGGTTGGGCACAGGATAGAAATTGTGGAAATCATGGGCCGCACTCCAACCCTTCTCCCAACTTAAATTCCAGGTGTTATCTGCAACAGATTTGAGCATGTACATGCGACTAAACCACACACATCAAGTATTGTGTCACCATAACAGTGGGGCTAGGATTTCTCCAAATCTAGTGTTTGAGACAAATTACTAACGGAACTAAGGCAAACAAAAAACGTGTGGTAGTTGTGATAAAGCTTTCAATGATAAGGCAATGGAATTGGAAATAGGATTACCGTGAGAGATACTAGTAGGACCACCGGATTTACAATAACCACATGAGTTTCTACGTCGACCAACCTCAACAACAACAGAATCGTTTCCAGCAGTGATGCTATTGCTGCTACTGCTGCTTGCTTCACTTCTCATCTTCTTTTTCTCAGACATGTTAGATCTCTTTATTCAATCACCCAGATTTCTAGGGTTTCACAAAGCAATATAGAAATGATCTGCCAAATTTAGATAAACATTAGCTGGAATTGCAACTGTACAACAACTGGCAATGGTCCCTTCCCATCAAGGAGACAACAATTGGTAATGGATTATGCCCCTATTTTCGTTTCACGTTAATTGAGTGCACTTGTTTATATTTATCTTCTCTCTCAAATCTTCCGACCACTCTCAGTAGTTGAGTCAATTTCTAAATGCACAACCCAAAGTTAAAGAATTGCTTTAAAATATTATTTATGTTTTATTTATAATTAAAATAAATATTATTTAACTATTATTATTTTTCTTTAAATTTACTTGACAATTTAAAATTATCACTCTCTCTCAGTTACATGATATGTCGTTAAACCTTTTTTAATAATAAACTAATTTAATTCATTGAATCTATTTAACTAAAATAATGATCATATTATTTTTGATTTGTTTTCAATCTATTAAGAATAAATTTAAATTAATCCATTAAGAATGATTTTTCATACTTAAAATCATTTATCATGATTAAACTTTTTTTTTATGTTATGAAGAATACATTTTTAAAATGTACTATAATTTTATCAATTTTGAGTACTTATAAACATATATATTCAAAAAAATATTGATACGCAAATCACTCATTAACACTAATTTAGATTAATTAATCATAAGTTGTATAATAAATCAATAATATTAAAGGTCAATATAATAATATTAATTGTATATTTTGCAATTCATGCTTCCGATATCATTTTTTTTGAAAATAAAAGAAGAAAGTGAATAATATTATATTTTTTATCCATTAGAAATATTAAATACATCAAAAGTCTCCTTAAATTCTAGTTGATATGCCCTGTCATTATAATCATTTAAAAAAATATTAGACCTATTTAATTCATCAAACTTATGTCTCTAAATAAATATATAAATTACATGAGAATTTATGTAGATTATAAGAAAAGCAATTTAAAAAGTCTAGTAACTTTATATATTGTCACAAAACTTATTACCTGATAATTTTAAAATTCCTAACTAAATTATTTAAAAAATTTAAACAATTTTTTAATAAACGTATTTAGATAAATTTGTAAGGTTGACAAAAAAATTGATAAGAAAGAGAAAATTATTATTTAATTTTTTAATTTGTATTCTTTAATTCTATTATATTATATTATAACTTTTCATACAATAAAACATCAATAAATAAACTAATAATTAATTGAATTTACTTATTTAATTCATAGTATTCATATTATATGAGATTAATATACTGGTAAATAAAGATCAAAATTTTATTTTCTATAAATATTATTCACTTACGACTTTCTTTTAGAAAAAGATATTGTAAGTATATATGAATTTCAAAGCACACAAAAAATTATTTTTTAATAATTAATCGACCATTAATATTATTGATTTATTATACAATTTATGATTAATTGAAGTAAATTAGCGTTCATGAGTGATTTGTATATCAATATTTTTTGAATGTATATGTTTATAAGTATTTAAAATTGATGAGATTATAGTACGTTTTAAAAACGCATTTTGCGTAACATAAAAAAAATAAAATGTTTAATTATGATAAAAGATTTTAAGTATGAAAATTTGTTCTTAATAAATTAATTTAAAAAATTCAAAACAATATGATCATTATTTTAGTTAAATGAGTTTAATGAATTAAATTAGTCTATTATTAAAAAAAGACTTAAATAACATGGCATGCCAACTAGGATAGAGTGATGTTTATGAATTGTCAAGTATATTTGGAGGAAAATAGTGATAGTTGGTGATGTTTTAGTCTTAAATGAAACATAAATGATATTTTAAGGCAATTCCCTTAACTTGGGTGACCATTTGGGAAATTGACTCTAAGTATTTTTACTCCAACAGTTTCCAGTTTATAGGTGTATTGTGTATTTTTTAATGTTTTAGAGTAATTTTCACTGTATTTGAGAAATTACTTAGGAATATTACTTTTGTTTGTTTTATGATTACAATATAATTTAATCTTGTTTATTTTTCTCAAAATATATTTGACACAAAAAATACATTATCTTTCTGCTACTAAGATGTCATGTCACAATTTTAAATTTATTAATAATATTTTTTTAATTCTTTAAATGACAGGTTGTTTAATATATCTATGCTACATGACAATATGAACATTTCTCGTATCATGGTTCATGCTCAATAAGTGGAAGATGCAAGGTCTGAGAGGAAGAATAGAGATGCCAAGAGGGTAAGATCTTTTAATGGTGGTTCTTCAAAGGGTAGGCGTGATATCCAAGACAAGCCTAGGTTCAAAAAGAGGGTTTCTAATCAAGTTCCTTCAAAGTTTCCTAAGGCTAGGGATTATAGGGTGTCTAACCCTAAGCCTAAAAAGGGAAGGGTTACTTGTTCACCGAACAAGAAGCCTACTTGTGCCAAATGTGGAAAGAGTCATCTTGGTGAATGTCTAGTTGGAAAGGGCAATTGCTTTGGTTGTGGCAAGAGTGGACACAAGGTTACGAGTTGCTTTAATGTGAAGGTCCAAGACAAGGGTAGTGGTAAATCTCAAGCAAATGGTTCTAATGATGCTCCGAAGAAGAATCAGTTTTATGCTCTTCGCTCTAGAGGTGAGCAAGAGATTTCTCCCGATGTAGTGACCGATATGTTGAAAGTCTTCTCAATTAATGTATATGATTTACTTAATCCGGATGCTACATTATCTTTTGTTACTCCCTTGATAGCTAAGAAGTTTGAGCTTTTACCCGACATTCTAAATGAACCTTTCATAATGACTACCCCAGTGGGTGAGTTGGTGGTTGCAAATAAGGTAATAGAAATCATCCTATAATGTTTCCCAATAGAGTTACTAATGTTGAACTAGTAGAACATGATATGTTTGATTTTGATGTCATATCAGGTATGAATTGGTTGCATGCTTGCTTTGCCTCTATAGATTGTAGAACAATGGTGTGTATGAATTGGTTGCATGCTTGCTTTGCCTCTATAGATTGTAGAACAATGGTGGTGAAGTTTAACTTTTCAAATGAGCTTGTTTTAGAGTGGAAAGGGGGGGGGGGGATTCTATTCCTAGAGGTCGAATCTTTTCTTGTTCTAAAGCTTGTAGAATGATCTCTAAAGGGTGTTTACACCATATAGTAAGAGTCAAATATTTAGACTCTGAAATTCCTTCCATTGAGTCGGTTCCCGTAGTGAGGGAATTTTCTGAGGTCTTTCTTACTAGATAGTGGATCCACATAGAAATCTAGTTTATATTTGGTTTTAGTTTGATCTGTAAACAACCTTCTATCAGTGTAAGGTTTTACAACACCGGATTTCATACTTAGATCTTGTGTTCTATGTCATTTAAGGCAAGTGTTCCCTAAATTAAATCGAAGTAATGAAATATAAACCATCTAATGGGACACAAGAGGTTTGACTTAGTCTAGGTAGGAGTATGGGACTCTACCTATATGTTGCACTAGTTTGCCTTGAAGGAAGCCTTTGGATGTTTTTCTTATGTATGTATATTCTTACAAATGTAAATGATATGTATATGATGATCTTACATGTTAACGACATTATGTTATGTTGATTATTCTTAGGAATATGTATTTGGTCTATATTGCTAAAGTTTGATATTATGTAAACTTGATGTTATGTTATTTGTGAAGTTAGACATTATTTATGATTATTGATAGGTTTACTTGATTAAGTAAGATTATGAGTCTTTGCTTAGTTATTGCACAAGTGGACTTAAATAGGGTTATGAGTAATGGTACTGCTTTGGTCATTGAAATGTGCTCTTATTCATGCTTGTTGCTATTATAACTTGATGATAGAGTTACTTTGACTATGTGTTCAATTATATGATATGCATGTTGACTTGACTCAAGGTTTGTAATGTTTTTCTTGTGATGTACATGCCTATGACTTAAGTAATATGTCTTATTGATTGGTATGATCTTGTTGAATGTGCATAAATGTTTTCAATCTTAAAAGCATTAGCATGATTTCATGATATATGTTCATATGGTCTCATACTTAGTAAAAGTGGTGTACTAATCTATTTTTTTCTTTTCCCCAACATTCTAGGTTCCAGTCGTTGAAGGAATTTTAGAGACGACTTTGAAGAAGACTTGGAGGTCCTCACTTTATTATGAGGGCAATGCAACTATCAAGCTTATGGTGTTGCTTTAGTTTTTAAGAATATTATGTTCTTTCCTTTTTATTTAGATATTAAACATTGTATGACCTATATGTGCTCTTATTTGTATTGATGTATGAGTTGGGACCAAATTGTTCTACTCTTATTTGATTGTTTTGAGATGAGACGAATATTTGAGACTATGTTATGTTTTATATATCTATTTTCAATACAAATAGAAGACCAAGTACTCTTCATATATGAAGGGTCTATGTATACTCGATATAACTGTATTATTTGTATGTAGAGGTTTATGTAAACATCAATGTAGAAATAGTAAAAAGTTTTGAATTTCCGCTAATTTTGACCTATTAATGTGATGATGTAAGATAAGAGACTAGTCTTAGTCCTAGAATAGGACGACAATGCCGGTTACATCCAGGGGGTGCTCCCCGGATGTGACAAGTCATAGCTTGTGCCAAAGTCATAAATGTCGACCTTATATATCCATACGTAATAGGAGGAGGAATGACCGGACCTTGGTTTTGTGGAGGAACTTGATTGTCTTCTGGAGGGACATGGTTGCCTTTGGGAGGAACTCCTGCATTAGATAAATCTTCCTCCACTCTCCTTGTGGCTGCACATCTTGTAGTCATATCATATATCCACAAGAAAAGTATTAGATGAAAGATGACACAACACGATTTCAAGATTACCAATAAATGAGAATTCCTAAGAGTCAGATAGCCTCTCATTCATACTGTAGCGCGCTTCACACCCATGAACAAGACTCTACGTATATGTGGTTCAATGAGAAATCAATGCTAAGATTTCTTTAACCTCATTCTCTGATAATAAGTTTGTGCCGACCAGGGAGCACCCCCTAGACGTAACCGATATCGTCGTCCTCGGAGAGGACTAACACTAGCCTCTTAGCATTCGTCATTACATTTAATAGGTTAAAAAGTGTGCAAAATTAAAACTTTTCATACATATCTATAGAGTGAAGTTTACAATACCTCTCGCATACTACATACGGAGTTTACTTAGACTCATCGCATATGA